TAAGTCAAATTCTCGCACAAAGTTCTGCTTCATAATTTATCCTTGTTGCGAAATAGTTTGAATATCTATACAAAAGGTTCTTTAGATAGTCAAAACTCCATAAATAACTCTTTCTTGATATAAGATATAAAAGGTGCGAAGAAATATAAAGATTTATTTAGGTAGATTCCTGATAACTTTTGCAATTCCATAGTTCATAGAATATATTATGGAATTTTGTAGTTTTAGCAGTAACGTGACTAATCTATTTTTTGGGATCAAACAATTAATTTGCTATATGCAGGTGATGCTAGTTTTGGTTAGGAAAAAACATTATATAATAAATATTTTATAAAACGAAATAAGTTTACTAATTACTTAGGATATTTATTTTTATTGGATAAAAGTAATAGTTCAAACAATTGTTATATATTGCACTTACCAGAAATATTTCAATTTATAACAGATAAATATTTATTTATCTCATTTTACCTGTAACTTGCGTACCACCTTCCATGGTTCTTCCTTCTCACAAATCGATGTCCAGAGCACTCTGCCTGCTCCTGTACCAGTCATTTGTCCTACTGGGACATAACATGGAAGCTACAGCACGTCTGAAATTTTGCCCACTTACACAATACAGAGCAAAATTTATGCCGAAGTTTGTATTGAAAAATATTGCACAATAGTATTGAATTATGACTGTCGTTCGACTTGGCGGTTCATCGCTCTGGAAATAAATGAAATAGATAAATTAAGTTTGATGCCTTGGAAGAAGTTGGCATGACAAAGCTAGTTTAATTGTTGTTTGGTTCGCATATAAATATGTAATGTTAGAAATATTTATTTCAATATTTTATGGCGCAATGCTTTATTACCTATACATTTCTATAGAGATTACAAGAAATATTTCATTTCGATTAATGTAAGATTTGGATCCGAAATTCGATAACGATGTGCTTGCCCCACAGATTATTTCTTTGTCATAACTATTATATTAACGAAATTATGGATTTATGAAAATATACAAAACATGTTAACAACATTACATTACTCTTCGAGCTTTACTGTCTTTGGGAAAACTGGATTTGAATAATCTTCAAATAATTAGTAATAAATTAGCGAATGCGTATCTTAAAATAATTCAAAACCCAAATATACATGTCGTTTAACTTTCTCTGGATTGCTAATGGATTATTGTGCCTAATTTAGCGGTGGAGCGATCGTGTACGTGTGTCTTTATACGAGCTTAAGATTAGTTTGGCTATCATCATTAAGGCCTGTTATAAGCATATAGTGATTTTTCTATTATATTATTTATTACGAAAATATTTGCACTGGTATGAGATAGACATTTTCAATATCTATTAACATATTTTCTACAAAATATTGTTCTGTACTTTATACATATTTAAATATTTTATTTGCACTTTCTTAAATAATTCACATACAAGTATAATTCTTGTATCTTTTCATTTAATATATATATTTGTTATCCTTACAGCGTGAAATATCAATTATTATTAGTTTTTGAAACGTTGGTAATTAAATTACTTAATAAATTTTATCAATCGATTTTTATTACCATATTTTTGCCAATTTTTTAATAAAACTACCTTATTTAAATGTTAGTTTAAATGTTATCTTAACATTAATTGAAAATCCAACTACAATTTGAAGTAATTTTTCATATAAATTATTTGATTTCATAATATATATTATAACGCAACATTAGTTAGATTGGGTAATAAAATGATATACTAAAACTTTTAGTATAGCAATATATAAAACTTTACAGTCAAGTTAAATCCTTGAAGGTTGTGGGTTGCGTTTGAATGATTTAGCAGTAATAAAATGATACTATTAAAGATAGGTTACAATCAGATACGGAGATTTATGTGAACTACAATGTTTGATTCGGCGAATTTCAACTGAAAATAATCACAAATATAAACCTGAGATATAATATTAAACTTTATATATAGTCGTAGATTATATATTGAATTATGAAAATTATTGAGAATAAAAGAACATGTAACATTTTTATATTATAACTATTTATAGTACTAACGTTAAATGTTCGCAAAAAAATGGATCCGACGTATTGTTAAATTCAAAGTTATACGGAATAATAAATGACGTTTTATGGAATAGTTAATTTATCTAGATCTATCAACAGATTGTATAGAGCCCATAAATTTAGTATTAGATTTGCAATAGAGCAAAACAATTTTTTCACAATCTTTTTCATGTTAACCGCGCCATTTTTATCACATGTAGCGATTTGATTACAAGATAAGATCAGTATGCGATATCTCTGTAGACAGACAGGCTGGAGAAAAATCTTTGACATATTATGGAATACATTGAGCAAGACGAGGGTATCTGGGTATAGATAGGAGGCACTTGAATAACATGCTTCGGATAACATATTTCGGATGTTATGATAACAACTGCTGAACTATGATTATCGCACGTGCGAGATATTTGGAAAAATTCCTATGATATAGAGAGACTTGAAATACTTCATCGCAATGGAAATCCGAGCTATTCTATATATTCATCAAGTGCATGCTTTATTTATTGAATACTTAGACATATGAGACTCTGAGACATACAGTTTTGACATATTTCTATGAAGGGTTTAAATCCTCCGACGAAATATATAATATATTTATTATTCTTTGAAGCGTTAAATAGAATTTCATGGACATTTTTTAAAATACTATATATGGCACTTATAAGATATAAATACAATGAATTGCATTTGCAAGAGGTTGTGAGAAATCCAGAATGTGTTTTGAAATTAATATACATTTCTATAATGGTAATGTAAACGAATTTTCTTATTATGGTTGAATTTTATATCAAAGAATACATAATACGTGCAATTGTCAGCAAAGGTAGAATACAGTTTTGAATAAACGTTTGATCTGATTTCACTAACTAATATAACATTCATACAGTAGATTCATCATGTTTGTTATAAAGGAATAGGTGCTAGAGCTCTAATGTAATTATTTGCTTTGACGTCTGATTTTGGCACATTTAATTTGATATTGAGTCAATTCGAACTTGTATTTGAATCAATTATGTTCTCTATTGACTTTCTCACTACTACAATCGCGCGGTATATCGAAATGTCTGAGAATCAATCAGAAAAGTTGGTTGGAGCGTAAAAACGTTGAACAAATATAAATATACCTATATTATATGTATATATATATATATATATATATATAATATTGCGGAACGAATGCAAGAACAAGACAGGACGTGTAAGTTTTAATAATCTTACTTGTCCAAATATATTTGATTATACCCTAGTAGTACATTTTTCTTTTGAAAAAAAAAATGCTTTAATCAATGTTAAAGTCCATATTATGTATATTTATATCTTTTTAATCCATATTGCTTTATAAGCGTGCACTGTATTTTTCCACTGACAGATATTAATCCCTGCAGATAGTTTGCTTAATTGATAGATAAAACTAATGAAAAATGGGAAATATTTTATGCTGAAAGGTTTTTATGAAGGCAAATAGCAGTAAGTATATTATGAATAGCAATTGCTATCGGAAGTAGTGACATGCAAGTAATGACATAACATATGGCCTTAATTTACTATATTTGCAATATACTTAAGTGCTTTTAACTAGAATAGCGATCTATATCACGCACACCCTTTGACATTTATATTTTACAATACATTTAATCAAAGAGCTGTTAATTTTAAAATATTTTTATTGCAATTTATTGAATATTGTTAAAGTGAAAAATCGGAAATTATATACTTTAGGAGTTTTGATTTGATTATTTTTAAATAGTAATGAATACCGATAATAATAATTTTTGGCTTGAAGACAAATGAAATTGTTTATGATTGAGCTAAAATCTGAATTAAATTATTTATTTAGAATTATCTAAACGAAAATTTATTTATACTACGTCTTCCTTATTTTCGCGCATTTAGTAGGTAAAAACGAAAAATATTTTATTTTATATTACTTCTGTACCACATTTCTTATTTATCCTTGTGTTTGAAGTCTGAGAAAAATTGTGCAATATCATCCTGATTACATTTATTTATCTTTAAAACTTATTATACGCAACGTGTTCTTCAGTTTCATCTGAAAGCGCTCGACTGAAAGAATTACATAAGGCGAAAATCTTAACTTGAAAGCCAAAAGTAGGCACTGACGTATAATATACATTTTTCATGCCGTGATTTGAAATGATGCAGTTTCCGCCTAAAAGTTGATGCTGATAAAATAAAATGTGAAATGAACTGAATCGATTTTTTTAAGACTTTTTTTTTAGCCCGTTTCAAAATTTTGAGTTATATGTTTTTTGAGCTCTTATAAGTGATTTGATTATATCTCTGTTTTTAGTGTTAATCAAATATTTCAAGTAAATGATATTATAAAATTATGATCATTTGTTTTCTACAATTTATTAACTTATATACGAGATTGCACCACCAGTTAATTACCGTACAATTTTTTGCATTTTGTAACTTTATAATTAATATAATCATTTATATAATGAAAACATTTATCAATGGTTTATCCATATTTATGGACTATTAAATTTAGTAATTGAAATAACTTTAAAACACAGTAATTTTTCACCAAATTCAACTTGGCACATATTGCAATTGACTACAATAATTAATATTTATTTTACTCTTAATTTCTTCTTTCGCTCGTCCTAAAATTTAATTTCAATTCAGTTTCAGTTTATATTCAATTATAAAGTAGGAAAGTGTATTTGTTTAGTATCAAATGTATTCTAACCATAATTTTAATGGGCTTTGCAAAATCTCGGGTGAATTCTGTTTATTACGTCTAAACAAAACCACAACGGCGAGCTTCTATCATAATATATTTATGATAATATTCATGGTGAAACTGAGAAAAGTTTTGAATAGTTATAAATGTTGTAAATACACGTGTTTAAATTTGTCAGTATGTTCGATATAGTTCTACTTTTAGGATAATAGAGGTAGAATGAAAATCTTTGAATCAAAAATATTTGTTATATTTATTCATTACAAACAGTTTGATTTGAATATTTGAATTTGAATATATTCAGCATTTATAAAACGTTAATTATGCTTTATATTTACATATATAACAAAGTTTTTGGAACCTTTTGAAGATAGTAGAAAAAATATTTGTTTCATAATTGCATTCTTACTACATTTTGAGTTATTTATACTTCAATAGCTTCAATTGTTCTGATTCGTATTTAAATGTTAATAGAAATAAGTTTATAAAAATATAAAACTTATTAGGCGTGTCTGTTTCAAATTAATTATTCTCAATTCCGCACGTTTAAACAGTGTGTCTGCTAATCAATAGGAATTTTTAAACTGAAATGGCGAATACAATTTCAATTTTCTCGCATTGCAAATACAACAAGCATTATCGCCAAGCAATTTTATTTTCCACATTTGCGGTTCGACATGCGTTTTCCATAGGCGTTTTCAGTACGCAGTAACGAAAAGCAAAGAGTTTATCACCTTTGATCATTTGCTCCGGCGGCTCCGGGACTTGTATAAATATTGAACGTTTAACATACGATCCGGATAATTCTGATACCTGGACATTCGCATCAGATAGGCAGTCTAAAGTTTTATAAAACGGCTCCGGGCGGAAATTTTTTGTGAATGCTTGGGTTCCAGAGCTATTTACGGAATTTCAGTTTTATTATAAATTTATGTGTAGAGATGTATCACTTTATAAGAATTGTTGATATTACTGTATGTGTGAAGATATAGAGATCATATTTATATAGAAGCGCATTACACGTTAAACTTTTGTAACGTTTTTGGATATTTTTTTCTAAATGCTAAATGCAATTATAATCTAAAAAGTTTTTGCAATCATTGCATTCTATATTTGTTCTATTTTCATTGAAGAATAAATAATTGTTGACGTGTTCACTAGTATATATATATATATATATATATTAAATTTATTAATAGCATATTGTCAGAGAATAATGACCACCAAATTTATTGCTGGCATTTCGATCAAAATTGCTGACGACTATAATGCTTCTGCATATTAAAAAAGACGAAAAATTTTCTCACGTAAGCGTGTTCACAATAAATCATTTGCTTTTATTCAAATGTACACGAGAGAAAATATATTTTATAATAATGGGACCAATATATAAGAAGAAATTCCTAAGTATAAATAACATATTGTAGAGTATAGTGTATATTTAGTAGTTGTAGTTAGAAGAGAGTGTTGATTTCTGGATGTAATTAATTTTAGTTTATAGATATGTGAGATAAATATTGAAGTTTGACTGTGTAATAAGAAAAAATGCTTGCAAATTCCTAGACAGGAGCTTGCTTGTCAGTTGACTTTGGTTGTGATTATGAAATCGACGTAATGCATTATGTTATTTAATTATAAGGTAATACTATTAGAAAATATATTATTTAAGATATATTTATGTACTAGTAGTTGTTTGACATATAAATTATGAAGAAATAACGCAAATATTCTTGAATTACAATTCCTACATCAGATGCGGATTCAAACAAATTGAAGCTTTTACATCATGCCGTAGATTTTTAAAAAATACTATGTAGTATTTTCTTCGCAGTAATATCTTTTTTTTCCATTTTTGTCAAATATTAACTATAACTTAACTAATTATAAGTTAAATCTTACACATGATTGTCTCCGGTTGCTCATAACAACTAAATTTATATCGAAAACAATTATTATCATTATCAGAATTTATGCTATATTGCGTAATTATATTAATATCGTTGAATTTATATGAAAGTTTCACACATACTCGCTATATATATATATATATATATATATATATAAATATGTTATGGAATTCTAATTACGAATAGTGGTATTTCTCGCAAACAAACACGCCTACTCAATAATCAGTGAATGCTTATTATTTCAAAACGCTATTACAGAGATTCAGCTTGGTAACCTAGCTCGTAGCTTCATATGAACTTAGATACAAATTATTTGCATTTGTTACTTCTATGTTTAAATGGATAGTTTTAAATGGCTGATTTAATTTCTCGATTTTTTTGTTATAAAATGCAATGTCTATGCTCTTATATGCGCTCTGTGCCGATGTTTGGTTATGCTACCTGATCGCTCCACCGATAACTCGACAGGATCAATTAACGTTTTATGTATTTTATAATATTAATAATAGTATTATTGATATCATTTTTTATCCTCCTAATACTTCTCAATTTATTAAGTAATTGTTCACAAACATGAAGCATGAAGCAAAGCAGCATTGCGTGAACCATAATTATATAATTATCCAACTACTAGCCATTTAGTGCAGTGAAGCTATAGTTTCAGCTTCTAAAGGAAGATTTTATTCTAGTAAACTTGTCTTTATGTGGAACGAAAACGTGTTTTGACTTTTCATATTTTTTCGAAAAAGTCGTGAAACTAGGAACTAAAACCTAATTACCAAATCAAATTTGATGAACGTATTGATCTATTAAAATATGATTTACTTCTTCATATAATTTGCACAGCCAGTAGGTCCTGACTTGATCTTATCGAGAAGTTATTATGCTTGTTTTAAAAGCCAAATTAAGCGTTCATAATAAGATTTCATACCTCAATGAATGCTCTGAGTCGCATGACGTACGATGGAAGATTCAGGCAAACAAATACGGTGGATACAATCAATAGCATCTTTGTCACTTTCATTTGGCTACTGCAGGAGTTGCTGGTGACAGGTTTTTTTCTTCTCAATTTACATACGGTTGTGGTTCCAGGAAATGGTATGCCTTGTAAGGCGTCGCGTTCCTCGCAAAAATATCTGCTGCCGCCTCTGCAAAGAAAATAATGGCCTTTGTTATGCGAAAATTAGACTTGGCTTTATGCGGAAATATTGCGGAAGTAAGGAAATAATTTCAATTCGAATTTACAATTATTCGCATGATTTTTAAAATGAAGTTAGAACAAAAAACGCGCTTTGGGGATATTTTCTGAATTGGATGCATTTCCGCAGAACGTAAAAGATTGGCGTGCGTGCATTTTCTATAAAAAAACTCTGAATGAAAAAGATAAATATTTTGATATTATTTACAGTGTATATATTACTTATATTTCAAATTAAAAAGGCTTTATAGTGATTATTTAATACAAGTAGAATTTTTAAAGCCGCTCTTATATCTTTTTTGCCCATTTTTTATACAATTTTGTCTCATATTTTTGCCTTATTTTTCAGTAATATTTTCTTGAAGATTCTCTTAAAGGATTTAATGAACACTTAAGTTTTACGTCGCAATTTTTTACGGTAAACATGATGCGAGAGGAATTTATTAATCTTGCTTTCGGAGGTGCCCCTCGAGGGCTATGTCGATTGAGATTGTACAGAAAATTCGAGAATTTCGAGCACGCGTCACTGCGAATTGACAACGATAATTGGAAAACGTCTCTTTGTTTTGCCAATCGCTTTTCTTTGGTCATAATGGCTTTTCACGGTTCAACAAACATGTGATGCTTTCTCCAATTAAGGCGCGGCGAGACCGATTCGGAGTGTTAAACTTATTGAAGAAAAACACCGCGGAGATACATCAATGAAAGTTGTACCTTGTTATATATATATATATATATATATATATATATATAAGATATAAATTATAATGCTGTATGTTTTTTTCTGATTTCTGCCTTTCTGTTTATAATGTACACTATTTTAGTGTTTTGATTTTCATAAAGTTCAAATGGCCGCATATGTTTTGAAACGTGATAATGCCAAGGTTAAGTAATAAATGAATTGTAACTTGAACGTCGAAATATCAGTGGCACATCATAACTTTGCTTAAATTATAAATAAATATCTGATCGTTTATGTCAGTTTTTCTTATATATAAACGTGTTTATATAAATATTTTAATATTACATTGAAAGATTATACGCAGGTACCAAAATTTGAAATTTCATTGAACTTGATTTTGAAGAGCGGTAAATAGAATTTTCTAATAGCTCATTTTTTAGATTATTTTATATATATTTTTTCTTATCCTGATTTTCATTGCTGCTCCACGGAGAAGGATATTAATTATTATTACAAATAGTTTTGGTTACTTTCTCAACAATATAAACATTCGGAAGTTACTTTATCCTTAAATGGAATAATTCCACTTGCAAGGCCTACACGTGCTAAATGTAATGCTTAAAGGGTTGATAATAGCTTTATGTTGTAAGACTTTATTAATTTCATAAAGTGATAATGAGCTATGAAACTTAATAGTAAGTTTTCCGCAAGTACATGATGTTCCTTTTGCGTTTCGAAATTGCAAGCAATTAAATGCCACTTATTTGAATTTAACATCTATTATTCCGTAAACTTTATATTTCGAAGAAATTGTTTGAAGAAACTCAAAATTGTTTCGCGTATCTTCTATAATCTTGTTTGCTATATTATATAATTCTCCATATTATATTTTGCACTTATTGAGATTATTTCAAGTGCAATATACTCTTGAGTAGCTTTCACTGTTTTTGTACTTATTAATTAAATGGTATGAAATTTAACAAGTAGAATTTTCTTGAATGATAATTGATATTTTTAAAAATATTATTTGCGATTCATTCCTATATATTTCTATATATAAGGATGATAGTTATTTATATTGATACATTTTTGAGAAAGCTTTTTTTGGAAAACAAGTTTAAATATATATATATATATATATATATATATATATATATAAATAAATGCGAATACATTTTTTTAGAAATTGTGATTAGTGATTAATCTAAAAAATCTGAAATCTATGATGGTTATTACTGTGTTGTTGGTACAGAAAATTAGTTTTATTGTGCAACATAAATTATAGCTTTGATCTAATAAAATTCGTCTTTTTTGGTATTCTTTTTTATTATCGTAATGTTTTGTTCTTCTTTTATATGAAAATTAGTTCTATTGTCTTCATTTTCCAATTTTTCATTTCGCAATAATCCCTCTCGTGTGATAATGAACGGCAACCCTTGATGAATTACTTCGACTTTGCGCGGTCATATATCTTTCCTCGTAACATATTCACTTATCTACCTTCCAAACTAACTTTGTTGTTTCCGAATAGACCTAGGACTTTTGGTGATTGATATTTACTGCCTGATAGATCTATGCCAAACGCATTTTTTGTTCGAGAAGCCCCTTTTCAAGGAAATTTTCACGGCCGAAACAAAACTTGTTAGGATAATAGACCAATGTGAGCCGATAAAAATAAGGGTTGCTTTCTAGTCAGAAAATGTATTATTGTTTAGTATAAACAGACGGTTATATCATGTTAGATAATTTTGTATTTGTTTAGAATTTTAATCCAGCATTTTTCATACATCTCACAAATAAATAAGTTAGCCGTTATACACAAGAGACATATTAGTTATTGCAAAACCATCAACAGTTTTTAATACTTCATATTGAACTATGGAAATTATTATACTATATAAATTGCTGAATAATCGAAATTTTGAAATGTAGTAATATCAAGTGACATGCATATAGAACCATGAGTCTTAAAGGAATTAAAAATAAATTTTATTCTATATTCTCGGTATAGAATATAGAATCTATATATTCTATACTTTAAAAAGATTCAAATTTCTATGCGAAAATTATTAAGTTCGAAAACCTAGACATGCCATTTATACCATACAATAAATATTGCCTTCTGTGTTTTTTATTTCAAATCATAAATAAGAAAATATATTATATAGTCTCTATATAATAGCGCCAATAAATCATAACTTAAAAGTTAAACGTAATTAAATATCCTACGAATTTGATGATGTTCTTTAAAATAAATTTTCATAGCTCACTTCAACAAGTATCATATTTAAAAATTAATACAATAAAATTTGGACAGCTAAATGGCCAAATAAAAATATTTTTAAAATTTATCCATACATTGAGTTATCGATAATTTAATTCTATATATAAACAAAATACTTCTATAGAAAGAAATTCCACAAAAGTGAAGTTTCTTTTATAGAGACAAGCACCCACCAATAATCTTATTATCGTACTTATGTTTCGCGATCTTTTGCAACGGGTCCACTTCAGACAGTTTATATTGAATAAAAAATTAGGATTTTTTGGTATTATGAGAGTCTGTATTATGTAGTCTGAATGATGTGACCGGCCAAAAATTCGCCTAAAAGAAGATAAACTATACACTTATATGATCAACGACCTAATATGCGAGACACAAACAAAATAATGTTTCAAAAATACTGACTGACTTAGTGCTTTTGCATTTATGATGATATTAATATGTAAAACTTAAAATTATAGGCACTGTATGCGTTCAGAATTAACTATTTCTCATACTAATTTTTGTAATTGCACTAAAAATTATAAAGCAAATTAATAATATTTTTTTATATCAAATATTTTTCATTATTGTACAGATGCAATGGTTCTTGAAATTTTTGTAGCCAAGAATAACACAACAAAAGTTCTTAGTATTCTTTCTAGGGGTTCAAATAGTTAAAACAGATATTACTAAAAAAATTCGTCCATAATAATAATTAAATTTGTTCTGAAAAAAATGTGAAAAATTTGAAAAGGTTAGTCAAAATCTTAAGCGAGAAGCCACTGTTTGTTATTGTACACATTCATTTCTTTCCATTTTCTAGTTTATTGCATTTATTTTTATAGTTTGATTTCGTTGTTTTTTGTTATTATTTTTCTTGTTTAACCTTGTTTAGAAGTGTTATGTCCTAACTAACTTGTAAACGAGGTTATTCACATTATATTTGTCTAATGCGTGAAAATCTCTATACACCATTTGGGGAATAATTAATAATAAGTTTCCATTACCAATCATCAACTTTCTAAAAGCTGTTTGTGTTTACTTTTGTATGGTTTCTAAGTATCATCCTGGCCGTTATCAAAAGGATATTAGAATCCTTTATATATAAGGATGTGTCATTGTTATTTTGACCTCAATAGACTGTGTACCTACTAAGGATTATGGTTGATAAAGTTTCGATATTGTTTAGGAGAGATCTGATATATATATATATATATATATATATATATATTAATAAAATAGAGAGAATCATATTTTACAGATTTTCCATACTTACCGCTTCAATGCTTACATAAGCCCTTACAATATATTTATACAAAATGAGTTATTTATATTATATTTATTTTACGATCAAATATATATTTTGATATTTTTTGATTATGAAAACGCAACCTCCAAAATATTATTTTACTTTAAATGTTGAATGTGAATAATTCAAAGTAACGCTTATTATTATTCTGGATTAGATAGATAATTGTAGATAATCAATTGGTAAATATTATTAAAAGTTCTTGGCCCACTGATATTTTTTAAACGACGTTTTTCAATAATAATTCAATAGTAAACAAAGTTAAATATAAGTTTGTCCAAATAAAACGCAGAGCTAGACAAGTAATTAACTCAGGTATCTTATGTACAAACTAGATAAAAATATAAACATATTATTCTATATATATTTTAGTTGTGAGGAGTCAATATAGTCTTATGTGTATTTTGGAATTGAGTAGTCGGAATTTATATGGAATTCATATCAATTCTTACTTCTATGGGAATTTACTAAAAAAATATTATTTCTGGAACTATTTAGGATACTAATGCTTACTAAATATTTGAATTCATTGAAGACATCATTTGTTGACCTCATAACGCGAAAAATATTTCATATAGTTAATAACATTTTTTTGTACCTTCATATTTCTACTAATAAAATATTATATTATTTTATATTATATATATCACACACATATATATATATATATATATATATATACATAGCTGGGCA